TCCCTGCGTTTCCACTCACTAGATGCCATTTATAGGGGCAGGAGTCTCCCTCTGCTGTGAAAACCCTCCCGACACAGCCCAGAAATCCCCGTCCTCTCTGTCTGGTGACTGAGGCTTGTTCCCTTTGACCAACATTCCTGTCTCTGGAACTGGTGTCCCGGCTGGCAGGCTTGGCTGGTGGCAAGGCACATCCCTGGGGTGCCACTGCCGCAGCCGTCCAACTCTCGGTGCCTTTCAGGCTGAGCCTAAAGCTCCCTGCTCCCTCCTGCTTCTCATTTGCTCACAGCCAGATTCCCAGGGAGGATCCAAAGTTAAGCCACTTGTACGTAATTAAATAGGACGTGTTACCAGGAGGAGAAAGTGCAAAGAGCCGTGACAGCTCAGACCAGCGCTGTGGCCGTAACCCTCACTGCAGCTCACAGGGGACACGTGCACCAAACCCACGCCTGCTAAACCCACTTGTTTTCTCTCCTCCTGGTCTCATGCCGCTTGTAAACGTCTTGCCGCAGCCTGCCCCTGCCAGGACAAAGTCCACTGTGATCCCTTTGAGCTCTTGCGGACTTTCCCTGGAAAAGCCCAGGCTGCAATGCTGGCGGTTTGCCCTTCGCAGTGCTGCAAGCTGGCTGAGGCCCAGGGCTGATCGCGGCCAGGCATGGGCAGCACCGGTCCCGGGGACCTGCCTACACGCGTGCCGTTTCCCTGCAGGCAGAGATCGCGTGTGTTCAAAGCATCGGAATCCCGGCTGGCAAGATCTTCTACAGCAGCCCCTGCAAGCAGGTCGCCCACATCAGATACGCGGCCAACCACGGTGTGCAGCTGATGACCTTCGACAATGAGGTGGAGCTGAGCAAGGTGGCCAGGAGCCACCCTCATGCCAGGTAGGTGTCTGGCAGCGTCGTCGGAGTGGGGGGCTGGAGTAGGAGCTGGGGAGATGGCTGTGAGGTGACAGAGGGCCTGAAGACCCCCTCGACACAGTGTGGCTTTGCTCTGCAGGATGTTGTTGGCTGTTGCTGCCGACTCCAGCCCCGCTGCCCATCCGAGCATGACGTTTGGGGCCACGCTCAAGTCCTGCCGGCACCTGCTAGAGACAGCGAAGGAGCAGGCTGTGGAGGTTGTTGGCATCAGGTACAGCACATGGTCCTTTTTCCATAGGGGTGCTCAGCCCACGTTGGAGGGGACTGTGGGGAGCTCTGCCTTGCCGGAACAACGCAGGGGTCCACAGAGCCACCGGCTGCTCTGGGTGGGAGTGAGGTGGAGGTTGGGACCTGGGGAGGTTGACCCTTGTTGGGACCAATTTGGGGCAGGTTTGGCCCTCGGAGAGGGTCTGGGGGGCTCTGTGGGCCTGACCAGGCAGTCTCGCTCGGGGTGGTACGTGAGAAGCGCAGAGCTGCCCCCAGTGAGTGATAATCCCAGTGCCGTGTCCCCTCGCTGCTCCCTGGGGACGGGCAAACCCTGCTGAAACAGGGACTGTGCCCTCAGCTTTCACCTCGGGAGCCGCGTTCTGGAGCCCGAGGCCTTCGCTCAGTCTGTGGCTGCGGCGCAGCTGGCCTTTGAGATGGGCAGAGAGCTGGGCTACCGGATGCACCTCCTGGACATCGGAGGGGGATTCCCCGGCACCGAGGACACCAGAACCCGGTTCGAAGAGGTACGAGGCTCCCAACGCCTGCACTCAGCAGGCAGAGAGCGAGGCCGGAGGGTCTCCCCTGGGTCTGGCTCCCTGCAGAGGGACCGAGCTAACCGAGAGGGAACGTCTTCTTCCCATCCAGATCGCCGCCGTGATAAACTCTGCCTTGGACTTGTATTTCCCAGATGGCTGCGGGGTGGAGATCGTTGCGAGACCTGGGCGATACTACGTCACCTCCGCCTTCGCCTTCGCTGCCAGCATCACTGCCATGGAAGAGGTTCCCGCGGAGCAGCCTGGTTCTGACGGTAGGTGGGACGGTGGGACAGGCCCGCCCGTGGGCCCGAGCCCCCCTGAGCCCTCTCCCTGCTCCCCCCCCAGAGGAAGAGTCTGGCGGCAAGAAGAGCCTCGTGTATCACCTCAGCGACGGCATCTACGGCACCTTCAGCTGCCTCCTGTTTGACAGCCCCTGCCCCAGACCTCAGCTGCACAAGGTGAGGGTCTGGCCCGGTTTGAGGAGAGCCCAGCGGGTCCCTTGCGTTGCGTCCCGTCGCATCGGCCGACCCTGCTCTCCCTTGCTTCGTGGCTGGCCCCAGGCTCCGTGCCGGAGGAGAGCAGAGGCCGCGGGGAAGAGGCTATGGTGGCGCACCGGGAGGGCTGTAGCCAGCGTCCGTGGGCTCCCGGGCTCGGACCTTCAGGGCGGGTGGAGACAAGGCAGGTCACTGGGCACTGGTGCATCCTCATCTCCTGCGGCTGCTCCACCTCTCCCCGGCAGAGACCCTGCCCAGACCACCCCTCGCACAGCAGCAGCCTCCGGGGCCCCCCGGGACACGCAGAGGACCTCATTGCCGACGGCCTGGAGCTGCCCGAGCTGCAGGTCGGGGACTGGCTGATTTTCGAGGACATGGGTGCCTACACCATCGCAACCTCGTCCCTGCTTGGGGGGTGTCCCCGGCCACAGATCACCTACGCCATGTCCCGTGTGGCCTGGTAAGAGACGGTCCTGTGTGAGCAGGGCAGGGGGGCAGGGCTGAATCCCATGGGAGATGCTGTCTTTCCCTCCAGCTGGGTTCTTTGCCCAAGGGAGAGGGTCAAATCTGAGTCCCAGAACCTGGAGATGCAGGGTAAAAACCTGGCCTCGGAGGTAAAAACCTGGCCTCGGAGGCAAAACTCACATTGTTTTAAACGTTGACAGACTTGAGCCAGTTTTTCGCTGGGGAAGCCACGGGCAGCTCAGCTCTGGCCGTGCCGATGGGGCTGTTGCTTTGGGGGACGTGAGAGCCCCTGAGCTCCCCCTTCCCCGGGGCCCATCCTGCAGCATTTCGCGAGGGGCTGCTCCCCCTCGCTCCCCCTCGGGTGTCTCCCGCTTGCAGGAAAGCCGTCCAGCTCTTCCAGGGAAAGCCCCCGCAAACAGAAGACGACCGCGAGAGCGTCTGCGCCCCGCTGTCCTGCGGCTGGGAGATGGCGGAGACGCTGTGCGTCACCCCGGTCTTCGCTCCGGCCGGCATCATCTGAGCAGCACCGGTACCGGGGCGGGGTAAGGGTCCCAACGGCGGCCGGGCTGCGGCAGCGCCTCCCGCCTCGCCTGCCGCCGGCATCGCCCCGCTCCGCTCTCACGGGGCGAGGACTTTGAAGTATACGCCATAAATCCCGTTCCTCCTGCTCGGGCGGTGTCGTGTGCCTATTAAAGGGGTTTGGCAAGCGGGTGGGTGGCGCCGAGCAGGTTTGGGTTCTCTTTTTTTAAGAGTTACGGTAATAAATGGTTGTCCAGCGCCGCTCGGGGGTTTGTATGAGGAAGCCCCCGGCTCTTCCTCCCCTCCCTGCGCCGGAGGCGGCGGAGAATCGGTCTGCAATAAGCAGCTAGCTGCGTAACGAGGCTTTGCTCGTTGGGGAAGGTGGGGCCGTTCACCCAAACCTTGGACACTGTTCGGGCATCCGCAGGGACCCCTGGGATTT